AGACTTCCATATGAATTCATAGAGAAAGAGGCATTTTCTGTCTAAATAACCAGGAGAAAAAATTTCAGTCAAAAGCTGAGGATCCTCCCTTTCCTGCTTTCCAGCAAATTCTGCTGCTACTAGTTGAAGCTATCATCCAATTTCCCTAAAAGTATCTTTTCTTTTGACGCTAAAACCCATTATCTATGATTTTCTACGATTATCCCAGAGTGAAACCCAACGACCTTGACTTTCGTTGCCATTCCATCGTCTTGTACCCTATTATTTTCGACTTAGTAGTTGCGAGACGAGTTGTGATACATACAAATTGCCGGCGAAATGATACTCTTTAGAGGAAATTCACCAAATGTTTTCCCAGGGGAAATTGGTGCCTCATGTTTGGCATTGTTTTTCTGTATCTATTCGGGTAGGAAATTTCGCTTTCAAAGTGTTGATGTAGACAAAATATAGTCGATCAGGGTGTGGAAGAGAGAGAGAAGCGAAAACGTGCGGCCAGCTATGATTCGCTTCGAAATTTGTTATTGAAACATTGTCAGCAGACGAAATCAAAGCATAGCCGTCTCAAGTGACATTCAGCTGGCTCTATATGGGATGGCCTTTATTGCATGCACGGAGAGTGAGAAACGGTAGCTGGACTGAATGGAAGAAATGTTTTATATTATTATTGAAAACTGAGAGCTATCGTTTTAAAGGACTAAAAAAACTGCTTTTTTCTCTGACTAATATCTAGCTCATAATTGACTAGTATTTTATTACAATCTTAATTAAGATAACTGCTCAAAAGGCCTCACTTTTTCAAGCTCTAGCTTACTTGGACTGACAGTATCTTTCAATCAAAAAGAACCAAACATTATAAACTAATCCCACCCATCAAAATTTTTACTTGTGCACATTTCATAAACCACGAACAGTTATTTCAGAATCATCTTCAAAGTAAGATAAAGCCAAAGTAACTACTTAACAACTAGTTTTTTCTTTTCTCGATTTCCTTAAAAAAAGAGTTTCACTAGTAACAGTTAAAATTACTTTAAATCAGTATGCTGCGAAACAGTTAGAAATCCTCGAAGTTACCATAGATGCCTAATCAATAGATCAAAAAATTTCAAGTTTTCGTTTTTGGAAGTGAAGGAGACGAACATTTCTTCCTCACTACTGGAATTCTTTTTTCTCGTTCTTAAACTACATTAATAAAGAAGGGAAAATGGGACTTCAAACATTTTTAACTATAGATTTTGTTTCACTTTGCGGTGGAGTTATAATAAGCACTTGTTTTCAGGCAAAATGTGATTGGCGTCGAATTGAAGAAGACATGTGGCTCGGACGGTTCCGACAGCGAGGATGAGAATGAGTTTGATGACAGTATGACCGACTCGCCATCGCCCATCGATGAGCCGAAAGACCTTTCCCTACGGCCGTCCTTTACGACCGATCGTCTTCTGGAGCCACCTTCATTCCCCATGAATCCAGCTCTATTCCTCTTTAACCCGGCGTTCCTACAAATGCAGCAGCAGTTAGCGGCTGCACAATTCCCCAGTTTACCTCTACCGGTGAGCCGTTCCTCCTCACCTCCACATCCACCACAAAAACGTAATAAACTTTCCATTGATGAGATTCTTGATCTAAAGCCAGAATTAAAACCCTGTGCTTCACCTCATTCACTCTCTCCCACATCTTCCACCTCAAATAAGGAGTTGTCCGCTTCTCCTGAGGTGAAATCGCGGGATAGCACAGCGGTGGCTCCGGCTACAGTTCCATCCACAGAACCACCGCAATTAGTAGTGTAGTAATGTTTGCTTTTCCCTCTAAATTACAGTAATTTATGTGTTGTTGAATTGTCGTGTGTGATGATCCAGGTTCTCTCCATATATGTTAGGTTAATAACACAGAACTAATTGCAGAATAATTCCATGTGCTCGATTGTGATCCATGTACAGAGTTTGTATAATGACGTTATTATTTTCATCTTATCTCTCTTTTTTTTGTAATTTTAACAATATACAATATTGTGTGCTAATGCCAAACAGCGTCTTTTCTTTGTTTTGTTGGAATATAAACTCAAATCAAACAGCTCTCCTCACCCTTCAAAAAA